TCACCTCTAGTCCTTCTTTTCATTAAACTACTAGACAATCCTCTCCAGTGCTGTTCTGAAGTCCAACTAGTATCCCGCATTTTCTCTTAGGAGCTGGCCAGCCTACTGGATTTGAAACCAGGTCAACGTGTGTTGGACGTCGGCTGTGGACTTGGGGGTAGCGATTTTTACCTGGCCAAGGTACCCTGGGTTTCATTGTATTATTATTACTATTATTCTGATTATAATGACCTCAGAAGTCACGACTGTTTCGCTAGGGAAATCTGAAGTTCAACTCTGAGGTTAAGTTGAGGTGGACTTCCATACTACGTGTTGGGTCTTTAAACCTCAAATCTCCAAACCGGTCAATTATATCTATACTAGCTTGTAACTGATGCTTCGCTACAAAACTATGTGGTCGGGGTTAGTTTTGGGGGAGGAAAATAAAGAAATAAAAACTGTGCCTTTGCCTCCCAGCCTCCATCGGTATTCCTTTGGCTAGCGTCCTGTCAGTGTGTGAGAGAGTTGGGGGCTGTTTGGAAACTGAAACAGTATTTGCTGTGTGAGCAAGAAGGAGACAGCAAGGAGCCTGGGCGTGACTTAGCTCATCTGTTCTGTACTAAAGCTGCTTGGTGCTGTGAAACTGAAACTCCTCTCCTCTGCATTTGGAAGAGATTTCTTTTCAGGTGGGGTGGGGGAGTAGAGCTCCTTAGCATCAGTGTGTGTAAATAATAATAATGATATAGGAAATACCTTAAATGCTCTAATGGTCATTTGGAAAAATCCTTTCTTAGTGAGCACCTAGAAGCTAAGAGGAACCTATGGGCCAAATTTCAAGCTTATAGGCTTTACGGTTCTGGAGATTTTGTGATGATGCGTGAGTGGTATTTCGCTTTTATATATATCTAGATTTCCTTTGCAGGAATTTGGGGTGGAGGTCTTAGGCCTTGATCTTTCGTCCAACATGGTGGAGATGGCTTTGGAAAGGGCGCAGAAGGAACCCAGTTCCCTGGTAAGAATCGGAAAAGAAAAGATATGGAATTGAAGTAAGATAATATTGGTGAGGTTATTGTTAAGGTTCTTCCACTTAATGCTTTATCTTGGGCTCCCGTTTTTATTTCTCTCCCTCTCTTTCTCTGATCATTTTTAATTCCAGGTCCAATTTGAAATCAGTGATGTGACCCGAAGAATATTTCCAGAAGCCTCCTTTGATATTGTTTACAGCCGAGATACTATCCTGCACATCGAAGACAAAATTAGTCTTTTTCGGAAGTTCCTGGTGAGTTTCCTTCTTGTCTCTGCAGATAAATAGATGAAGCTAAACTTCCTTGTGTAGAAACAAGAAACTCAGAAGCCCTTAGTCAAGGTTACTCAACCTTGGCAGATTTAAGACGGGTAGACTCCCCCTCCCAGAATTCCCCAGCCAGCATGCTTGAAAATGTATGGACTTCAACTCCCAGAATTCCCCAGCTAGCATGGGTTAGGATGGGTGGACTTCCACTCCCAGAATTCCTCAGCTAGCATGGTTTAAGAGAGGTGGACTTCAACTCCTCAGCATGCTGGCAGGGGAATTCTGGGAGTTGAAGTCCATCCACCTCAAAGCTGACTAGGGAATTCTGGGAATTGAAGTCCATCCACCTTAAAACATACTGATTAGAGAATTCTGGGAGTTGAAGTCCACCCACCTTAAAGCATACTGACTGGGGAATTCTGGGAGTTGAAGTCCACCCACCTTAAAGCG